ATGCAGTGTATTATTTGTTGAAACTGTACTTCCGATTTGATTTGAAACTGTCTCATTGCTATCTGTTTATCAATAAAACTTTGAAAAAAAAAGAGTATTTGGATATAGACTCTTACATGTAAACTCCAGTAGAAAAAATATATGCATTTTTTCCTAAGAGTAAACTACATCATTTATTCTAGTTCCTAAACTAGATGCTAGACCTTGGAAATACAAACTTTCTCACCTCATAGAACTCCAAGAGTAGAGCTACAGAAGAGTAATAGAAACTATTGTAACTGGTGAGATATAGGCTAAGAAAAACTGAAGATAAAGTGCTGTGGGTGAATACAATGCATTAACTGCATCTCATTGGAGGTCAGGGTAGCTTTACAAAGAAGATTCAAGTGTCACATCAGCAAAAATGAGGGGAAAATGTAAGCAGGGTCTTATTGAGTAGATTAGAGGGGAGGAGAGACTAGAAAGAAATTTTCAGAAAGCAGAAGAGATATAAAAATGTGTACTGTAAGTGGCTTTTGCAAACACACACTTGCAAAACTTTGATTCACACATCTATGCTTTCTAAAGCAAACATTTAGGTTCCTCATCAACTCTGCCTAACCAGAAATTTAGATCTTCAGCCTCTCCTGGAGTTATGAGGGAAAGGTTCCATGCTCCATGTTCCACACAGAGCAAATGACATGCAGAAAACACAACTAAAAACAAACATGTCATATTCAGGAATCTGAAACAGACATCTACTTGAATGCCTTGGTCATAGTTTGCACTTAGTAAATGTTTATTCAATCAGAAAGCAAATGAAGCCTTGGGATATCACATGCTTGTAATCCCAACTACTTGGGAGTCTGAAGCAGAAAAATTGAGTTTGACCCCAGCTTGAGCAATTTAATGAAATCTTGTCTCAAAATAAAAATAAAAACAGGTTGAATAGTTAGGCTCATGGCACATAACTGATCTCAGCACTCCAGAGACTGAGGCAGGAGGATGAGTGTGAGCCCAGTCCTGGGCTACACAGGAAGACCTTGTTTCAAAAAATAAAAAATAAAAAATAAAAAGCAGGGATGTAGCTCAGCACTCCCTGGGTTCCATTCCTACTAGGAAGAGATCAATCTGTTTTCAACTGAGAGGCCATTAATTCACAACCACCCTTTCTTATTTTTCTCAGCTTTCCAGTCATGTCACCTTCAGAGGAAGATTACTGTGCTTTATCATCTCCTAAGTTCTATCCTGGAGACATGCAAGTCTTTCTGAGGTACTTTTTCTCATATATAGACCTACATAGTTAATCCTAACTTCCAACTCTGTCTTCAAACCCAGTAATTACTTCATTAAACAATATAGAGGAACACCCTATATATAGTTAGTCCAGCCTCTTGGTTCATGAAAGCCTCCAAACATAAGGTCATTGGAGCAATATACTGAGATACAGGGGTGTCTCAGTTTTCCCTGACAGGTTTGGGACATAGGGGGTAAGAAAATCCAGGGATGTTTCAAATTCCTGATACAAAATGGCAAAGTACAACATTTAATGCAATGCAAATGCTATGTCAATAGACTACATCATTTACAAAATAACAAGTCTGTACATGCTTAGAGATACGTTTTTTCCCCAATTATTATTTTTTTTTTTGGTCTGAATGCCTTCAGGGCAGGTTTGGCTGGCTTGAGTTGTGGGGATCGAACCACAGCAACCTGAGCCTGACTGCTTTGCTGAAGCAGCCACTTAAAGAACTGAGCTAAGGAGCAGGCCCCCTTTTCCCAATTATTTTTAAGCTGAACTTGAAGATATGGCGGTCCACTGTATATTCCATCGCAATTCTATCTTTACACTACATCTATTCTTGTGTAGGTTTCTACATTAAAATGATCCTCTGAACCTTGATATTCTACCTGGAAAATAGGTGTAATACCGCCCTGACATGTTCACAGAGTTGTGGTGAAGATAAAACAGCAGAACGACTGGGAAAATCTACTAACTTTTATTAGAAAACCTTTATAAAATGATCTTTAGGGCCGGGGAGATAGCTGAGTAGAATAAGTAACTGCCTGGCAAGCGCAAGGTCCTAAGGTCAATCTCCGGTACCAGATCTTTATTTTATTAAAACCCAGACACTGTTCTGTGCTTCAAAATGATGAACTGATAAGAGAAGCTGAGGTAAATTCTGTATGGATACTGACTTAGCTCAGACCACTGCATCGTGAACTGACCCTGCACCGAGTAAATCAGAGAGGAGTGGCGCCCTCTCCTTAACCGTGTGACCTCGGGCATTACATTACTTCTTTGGCGCAGAACGGGGATCATAGAACTTATTCAAACAGGACTCTGACGATACACACCAGAGACTGAGCTAGGAGGGGTGTCTTGGCACGCGTTTTGGTTTTCAACATTATATTTGTTTTTATCGATTTAACGGGGGTATCATGACGTCTGGGGTGCAGGGAAGTCTGCTCTGGAAGCCTAGTCTGGGGGATCCCTGAGTGGAGTGGGGCTTCGGACAAACTTCTCCTTTTCTGGGCTTTGGTTTCCCGCCTCAAAAGAAGGGGGCGGGCTGGCTGATCTACACCCACCCCACGATCCGCATTCCCGGGCGCAAGGCTGCGCCGCGACCCTGGTCAGTGGGGAAACTCCCACCACCCCCATAGGCTGGGGAAGGGGCGGGGCGGGGGTGGGGCCCGGCGAGGGTCTGGTCTGGCCGCCCACCTGCGCCGCTCACCTCTAGGCTGTAGCTGCCGCGGATGGCTGTGAAGTCGTCCAGAGCTTCGGTTGCGCTCCCCTCGTCCAGGTTCAGCTCCTGGCACAGGGCCTGCAGCGCCTCCCCGGCGGCGACGACCACCGCCGCCCCTTCTGCGTGGGGCGCGTCCTCGAACATCCCTGCGGGCGGCGCACTACAGCCGGAGTTCCTTTCTCCCTCCCAGGCGCTCTACCCACAACCACCCGCGACAAAGCGCGCGAAAATTGGCTTAGCAGAGTGTGCATCGCTTTGAGCGTCTGCTTCCGCTTTTCTACTAAGAAAAAAAGTACGTCTCTTCTCCGAAGCAGTTAGTTGCCCCTCTCTAGAAGTGTGATAAGGGGATGAATCTCGGACTGTAATAGGATCTGGCTTTGGCCCCTGGTGGGCAACGAGTGCCCCACGGGAGGGAGCGAAGAACGGAAAGAGATGGCGGGAGCTAGGGCGGAGGGATCCGCGTGCAGAGTCCAATGGAAAGTGTAGTCCGTCTCGCCTCGGAAGCGCGGCGCCGCCCCCCTCGTTGGCAGCCTTCACCTGTGGACTATACTGCACGGGCGGGGTTGGATGGGGAGGCCTCTCTTTCTGAGAAGTCTCTCTATTTCGACAGCTATGGAATCCTAGGTTTGTCACTGCCCCAGGGCGTTAAACGTAGTCTGACTGAACCTTGTTCCTTAAACTAGCGGGAGGCGGCTGCGCAACACCCAAAAGTGATCTGTGGTCCCCAGAGTCTGCAAGCACTACTGGAGTCATCTAAGAGGGGGGCTGAAGGGCTGGTGAAGCAATGATAGAGTATTAGGGACCTCGACCCGTGTCATTTTAGTCACAAGGCAAAAGCTGGCTGGGAGGGTCGCTGGGGGCGGCGGGGATGGGGGAGGGGAGTGTTTCTTTCCTTCCTGGACTGTCAGAACAGTCGTTTCCGGAGGAGAAACGTACTGAAGGTTAGCCTGACACGGAAAGATGTTTTGGAAAGGTAAATCAGAGGCTGTCACTTCTTCCCTCAGAATCCTTCAGGATATCCTTGGCCTTAAAATAACATTCACTCCGCTTTCTGGGACCTATGAGGCCTACCTCATCTGGGTATTGATTATACCCCAACCCTCCCCCCACGTGTGCATATGGTATACATCAATTCGACTTTTTAACCTTTAAACTAAAAAATGCTGAGGTATCAAGCTAGTTCCTGAAGGCTACTCTCACGATCTGATTAAACTGCCTGCAGATACTCTTTTTCAAATCTTTGCTGTGTATCTCTTTTCATCATTTAAGCCTGTCACTTCTCTAGGCCATCCCTGATCACTATCCAAAGTAACTGACCCCTGTCTACCAATGAAGAAATAGAAACAGCAAATAAATAGACAAAAAAAAAGTTCACCATCACTGGACATTCAAGAGATTCAACATAAAACAACACTGAGATTCCATCTCACCCCAGAAAGAATGGCTATTTTTAAGAAATCAACCAATAACAAACGGTGGCAGGGTTGTAGGGGAAAAGGAACCCTTCTCCACTCTCGGCGGGGTGTAGACTGGTGCAAGCACTGCAGAAATCAGTGTGGAGATATCTCAAAAAACTAAAAGAGATTCCATTTGACCCATTTATTTCCTTTGATATCTTTCTGAAAAAAAAATCATATAACAGTGATATATATGTTATATATAAACCCATGTTTATAGCAGCACAGTTCATAATAGGTAAATCTTGGAAAACAACCCAAATGTCCATTAATCATGGACATTTTTCTTTGGATAAAGAAGATGTGGGGGCTTTTGGGTGGAGAGATGTTTTAATTTTTTTTAAAATATTTATTTATTTGTGTGTGTGTGGCCAGTTCAACCCACCAGGTGTCGGGGCTGGCTGGCATATGATGCTGGGGGATTGAACTGCGGTCCCTGTGCTTTGCTTATCTTAGCTTGTTCTAAGTAGGTGCTTTAGACCACTGAGCCATCTCACCAGCCCAAGATGTTTTAATTTTTAAATTTCCAAGTTCACTTAATTTCTTGTGATCTGTTCAACACTTTCAAATATCCTAAATTAACAGCTATACCAACATAACTCATCCCCAGTGTTGCAAGAGGAAGGACATTAAAAAAGACCAAATTATACTTTTTTTTTTTTTTTCCAATCAAAGGAGTCACACATCTCAATCCTTTTTGTGCTGAAGTATTACAAAAGCAAGTCAAATGGAAATGCTGAAATGACATGCCAACATTTCAGGGCACATTTAAAACACTCAGTAATTCTTGAAATTATTCTAAAATATTACTGCCAATCACTTTTAGATCAATTCTGTACATCTACCTGGATACAATTTTCCTAGACCTCTGAAAATAAACCGGCTCACTGGTCTTTTGGTGTCCACACAATAGGCAAGATAGGTTTACAATAGTGTTTACATGGAACTAGGCATCTACGATCTCCTGACTCCACCACATTCAAAACAAAAGAGTTCATTTGGCTACCTTGAAATCACTCCCATAAACCTACTATGGTTCACTGGATCTAAACATTTCTCAGAAATGTCATTTTATAATTTCATAATTTCACCAAGTGATGATTTGGGGATCCTTTAGAAATGATTAATGCCTAAGATAATAAACTTTATCAAAATGAATAATTGCAATAAAGTGCTTGTTAAGCCCTTTAAAAAGCCGGACTGCTTCAGTGCTCCTGACTTCAAGAGACTGCTTTAAGGCAATGACCAACCACTACACTACACACCTAAAGAATCCTAACAAACTCCCATTACTGCACTGTAACAAGCATCCAAATTCGATGTGGGGTTTTTTTTATACAATGAGGCACTACTCTGCCATAAAGGAAAAGCTGGAGACTTATATTTACTTAGAAATACAAGTAAATAGATGCACTTTGAGACCATACTCTTAAATGAAACAAATTGCACACACAAGCTCAAATATCACATGGTTTGTCTGGTGTGAGAAACCAGAAGGATAAATAAGGACCAAAATGTATAATAGAAAAAAAAATGTATAATAGATTTGGAAAACTCCAAGAAAATGTTCAAATGAGAAGGGGAACTAGGAACTAGGAAGAGGACAGGGGAAAAAGAAGGGAAAGGAGAAAAGGAAGAAAATGGAAAAAAGACTTTTGTAAATAGGGAGAGGAAGCAGGGTTGAAGGGAGGGCAGTGGAGTGGAAAAAAAAAAAAAAAAAAAACACTTGATACAAATTCCCTGTGATCAATGTTATTATGTATACCAAAGTGTAACATCATTTTGCACCTTGCATCATTAATCATTTATACATAATTAGTTCATCAGATCTCTCCCTGAGAGGGGCAGATAGTACAAGGAGCATAGAGCTAAGAAGTCAAAAGAAAAAAGGAGAGGCAGATATTTAACTAGTCTACAATTTTACCTAGTGCAGTCTTACTTGCCAGGAATAGGGCTTGAGGATTCTCTCTTCCCCCAATTCCATTTTTTACTAATAGAATAGCTTTAGTTTTTCCATAGGAATATAAAGTAGTTTCTTATAAAATAGGTATTTTGGTATAAGAGGGGAAAAAAACCCTAGAAATAAGAAAGGGAAAGGCTATTCAAGACACAAATGGGTCAATAATAATTAACAATTTATTTTAACAGCACAATGAAAATAAAACTAAAATGACATATTGAACTTTTGTTTCAATATATTATAAAAATAAATGTCGCAAGATTTTTATTTTTTGATAGTTTTTAAAGTTCATGAAGACATAAACCCATCTCTCAGAAAAGCTTTGCATACAAAATAGTTATTTGCATTAAATAGACTTGTTAACGCAGTTGCTGTCAGGGACTTCTTAGCCTTTCCCAGTGCTGATGTAGCAGTAAAGAGCTGTCCTCTGTTCTCTAATGGATGCTTCTATCTGTGAATTTCAACACAATAGAGCATAAAGTAAGGCATTACTTCACTTGCTACTCCCCACTTGTGATGTTACTCAGAAAATAAAAATCTGCCTCAGGGAAAAAGACTGAAGCATAAACATGGACAATGAGAAAGGATGCATTGAACATTGTTCCTATCACTGGAGTTTTAAAATGCTAGCCTCTGAAAACGCAAGCCCCTTATGTTTGTGGATATGAAATAAGAAATTCATTAATTTATATTTAAATATATATAACATTTTATTTTTATTTATTTACTTTTGCGGGACCAGGGATTGAACTCAGGCCCTTGCACTTGCCAGGCAAGTGCTTATTCTACTGAGCTATCTTCCCAGCCTCCCAAATATAAAACTTAAAAGACAAGTATATTTAAGTCAACAGAGGTTTCTTTCTGTTGTGAGGTCATGAGATCAATGAAGAAGTTAAAAAATGTTTAAGATTAACCACCACTTTCTGCTCTAACTCCACTCTATACAGTATAGGGTGAACATTTTATCTGATTAAAAAAAATAAGATACAACTTTAAGAGCAGTGTTCAACTATGAATCTGATAAATTATTTGAAGTTCAACATCACTTGACAATATTTGATGACATGGGTTTGTTAGGAGTATGAATTTAGCAACTGAGATGACTGAAGAGTAATCTGCACTTATTCCCATTCCAGAGAAAGAGAAGATGGGAGAATAGCAGAGCAGATTAGTCAAGGTGATGGGCTTCAGAGACCACCTGGGTTTGCATCTTGGTTTCACCATCTAGTACTAGTTGTGGGACCCTGATGAATCGCTTTTACATTCCATTCTGTAGCTTCTCCATCAGCAAAATGGAGATAATACATGAAGTGGTTATAAGGATTAAAAGAGTTAACTGCATAATGTATTTAGCTTAGATTTAAGCTCACTGTGAGCACTCAATAAAGTGTTACACATTTTGGATAATCTAGAAAATAGTTTAGTTCAAAAGGGGAACGTAGGTTCAGGGAGATAGCTCAGTGGCATAGTACCTTTCCTGGCAAGCTCAAGGTCCTGAGTTTGAGTCTTGGTACCAAAAAAAAAGTGTACATGTAGAGTTGGTTGCATGTAATAAGACCAAGGAGAATATAGGAGTGGTCCCTGTGGTTCAAATGAGCTTTTTGTGTTGAAGTTCAGCATCTAGCAACCATCCTCTTGGATTTGCTTGTGGTGAAGATTTAATGTGTCAGACAAGTGGGGCTTGCATTTTATCTCGAAACACTTGCTGGTCCTAGATATGAAACATCTCTCTTGGGGAGTGATCCCCTTGAAGCTCCACTTAGCACACTGTTATATCCTTCAA